CGGGGACCGCTTGAATTTTAATTTTGCGGTGCGGGGCTGCCATCCATCTCGGGCTGGCTCCCGGGAGGAGTTGCGGGGGCTTTTTTCGCCCTTTGCCTCGTTTAGTACGGAGGGGAGTGGCTGCTGCAGCAGGGGAGGTGGAGAGCGAAGAGAAGGAACGGGAAGGGAAATGCTGAGGAAAGGAGATGGGACCGGGAATAAAGGAGGCGGCGGGAGAGGAGGAGGGGGCGCTGGCGGGAGGGGACGGACGGGAAGGCGGGCTGGGGGAGGGAGGAGGGAGAAGGAGGGAGGGAGAGCGAGCAGCCCCTAACCGCGGCGCCCGCCGCCTCCTCCCAGCAGGACTCTGCTCGCCAGCAGCCGCCGAGCCCAGCCCGCGGCGGAGGGCGGCTGGTGCCGCTAACGCGGAGCAGGAGCAGGAGGAGGAGGAGGAGGAGGAAGAGGTCGCCGCCGGAGGAGCCCTGCGGTCCGGTCCAAGCCTCGTCGCTGAGCTCGCCCGCCCAGCCGCCGACATGATGCAGATCTGCGACTCGTACAGCCAGAAGTACTCCCTCTTCAACGCCATGAACCGGTTCATCGGCGCCGTCAACAACATGGACCAGACGGTGATGGTGCCCAGCCTGCTGCGGGACGTGCCGCTGCTGCTGGAGGAGCTGGACGCGGCGGGCGCCGTGTGCCCGCCCCGGGATGCTGCCCTGCCGCCCGGCGACCCCGGCGCCTACTTCTCCCGCAGGGACATGTACAGCCACTACATGCTGCTCAAGTCCATCCGCAACGACATCGAGTGGGGCGTGGTGCAGCCGCCGGCGGGCGAGGAGGCGGCCCGCAAGAAGGACAAGCTGGGCGGCGGGCCCGCCGAGGAGGGCGAGGGGGAGGAGGACCTGGAGCAGCAGTTCCACTTCCACCTCAGCGGACTCCACTCGGTCCTCTCCAAGCTCACCCGCAAGGCCAACGTCCTCACCAACAGATACAAGCAGGAGATCGGCGTCAGCAGCTGGGGGCACTGAGCGTCGGGGTGGGGAGCGGGAAAGGGGCGCCTGGCCCGGCCCGGCGGGAGCGGAGCGGGAGCG